GCCTCAGCCTTCCAAATAGCTGGAACTACAGGCATGCACTACCATGCCCGGCTGATTTTTGACTTATTGTAGAGATGAAGTTTCACCAAGTTTCCCAGACAGGTCTTGAACCCGCAGGCTCAGGCAATCCACTCACTTCAGCCTTCCAAGGCGCAGGATTACAGGCTGAGCCACCGAGCCCGGCTTATTATAGCATTTTTATGGTGCATTATATTTAGAGTCCATATCTGCCCATTACCCTAGTCTGTGTAGGGGTATAAATCTTATCTTATTCTATAGGCTTAATGCCAGGCATGTACTAAGTATTCAATGAATACTGTTTTCTAACATTTTAGTAGAAAAAATTTTCAAATTTACAGAAAATTAGAAAGAATTATTAGTGAGTACCCTTATTTGTATTTAATAAATATTTAGTGAGTGAGTGAATGAAGAACTGTGAAATTACCTTACCCTTTTTTTTTTTTTTAAGTCAATTTTCCATCCCCTGTCGGGTGCAGTGGATTGTAATCCCAGAACTTTGAAGGCAAGAGGATTACCTGAGCCTAGGCTTTGAGACCAACCTAGGCAACATGACAAGACCTTGTCTCTACAATAAATACATAAAATAAAATTAGCTGAGTGTGGTGGCACATGCCTGTGGTTTTCCAGCTACTTGGAAGGCTGAGGTAGAAGGATCACCTAAGAAGAGCAGGTCGAGGCTGCAGTGGCCACAGTCATCACAATCATGCCACTGCACTCCAGCCTGGGCAACAGAGTGAGACACTGACTTTAAAAAAAAAATCTGTCCCCTTTTGAGATTGGGACATGATATGTAACCTACCATTTTATGTTACATTTTATTCTCTATATGTGCTAATTTTAGACCTAAATAATTTTAACTGCTTTACTAACCACATTTACTTGGAGAAAATATTTATTATACCTATACTTTATTTCTACTGCCAATCTATTTGTTATTATTTAGAAGTTAAATATTGAAATGCCAGTATTTAAGAACTTATATTCTTAGTACTTAAGATTTTATAGAGGAGTGAATTACCCATTTTGTTAAGATGTCAATTTAATACCCCAAGTCAGATTATAATCCTGCTTTCTGGAGTTTCTAAGGGACTCTCTTCACACATGTTTTGCATATTTTTAATTTTATAATATGTAGATTGTTAGTTAGATTATTTGCCATGTATCCTGATAGAGGGGGCATTGAACCTTGAGTCTTAATATTAATAAAGTTGTTTTACTTTTTTTAAACTTATTGGAATTTCTAGCTCTTTTTTGGTCTCTAATGTTAGCTTAGAGTTCTAATTCAGTTTATGACTGGTTTCAATTTGACTAATTTTTGTGATTTATTCAAAGTTTTTTTTTAAGTACAAATTGTTTATATTTGTGGTGTACAACATGATGTATACATTGTGGAATGGCTAAATTTATTTAACATATGCGTTCTTTCACATACTTTTTTTTTTGCCGCTAGAACACTTAAAATCTACTTTCTTAGCAGTATTCAAGTATTTGGTATATTGTTATCAACTATGTCACAGAATTTATTTTTTTATCACAGGGAACTTCATGGTACACCTTCCAGTTTAAGTCCCAGCCATCTGGAGTCAAAGTATGTATATTGTGTAGATGTTAATGAAGAAAAGACTGAGAGTGGGAACCGGATGGTATACAGTCGAGAAGAACGGAATATACATAGCTGTGATTTTGAGAGCTCTCAGTCATCTGTTGTCAGTGATACAGTTGTTAGGTTTTTAAATGATCGACCAGCAATTGATGCATTGCAGAATTCTGAATGTTTGATTAAGATGGGAGCTACTATAAGAACTGAGGAAGAAATGCCTAATAGAGAAAAAGGAAACGAGAACTGTTTGAAGCCTTCTGTGAATAATGTGGGCCCTGATATTGATCCAAAAGTATTACGGCTAACTGACTCTTCTCCATCCTCTACTAGTACTTCCAGTTCCCAAAGATTAGATATTTTAAAGCGGCGACAACATGATGTCAAACTGGAAAAACTCAAGGAACGAATTAGGAAACAGTGGGAACACTCAGAAGAAACAAATGGCCGAGGCCAGAATCTGGGTCATATTGACCATCCAGTAATGGTTGTTAATGTTGATAACTCAGTAACAGCAAAAGTCAGAAAAGTGGCAACAGCACCACCTGCTCCAACATATAAAGGTTTGTAATCAGTCTTGTGCTTTTCTCTCTCTGCTTCCTTGTTTCCCTTTCTCCCTAGGTTGTATTTGAATAGAGAGGAACATCTTTAGGATGTGATTCTCACAGCAGCTTCATAAATAATATGTTAAAAATGCAGATTCCTAGATCCTACATTAGACCTAAGTCAGAATTTTTTAAGATGGGGTCTAGAATTGGAATTTTTAACAAGTCCCTCAAGAGATTCTTATAGTTTGATAACCACTATGTGAACATATGTTGTACAAAAGAGAAAACAAGAATTAGTACCATTTTCAGATAATTGAAAGAATATTGCCCTTATATTGCCATTGTATTTGGATTGTTATTAGGAATTATTTCAAAAGTAATATTTAAAAGATAATTCAGGTAGGGTACAGTGGCTTATCCCTATAATCCCAGCACTTTGGGAGGCGGAGATAGAGGATTGACTGAGCCCAGGAGTTCGAGATCAGCCTGGGCAACACAGCGAGACCTTATCTCTACAATAAATAAAAAAATTAGCTGGGCATGGTGGTACACACCTGTAGTCTCAACTACTTGGAAAGCTGAGGTGGAAGAATCGCCTGAACCCAGCAGGTTGAGGCTGCAGTAGCCACAGTCATGCCATTGCACTTCAGCCTGGGCAGCAGAGTGAGACTCTGAATCAAAAAAAAAAGATAACTCAATTTCCAGTGAACATCTGTTTACAGAATATTTTGGCATGGACATTAACTCTATTTTAACCTTCAAGTTTTGACATGAAGTTTTTTTCCCCATATTAAAAAAAAATATTTTTAAATCACATTTATGTCAACATTGATAGATTTTCATTGAGAAATTTTTAGCTATTTTTTTTTAAGCCAACTCAAATTCTTATATATGGTAGTTTTAAGGAGCTTCTTAAAGCTTTTCTATTTTTATTCTTACTTCCCTGAAATAATTTTCACAGGGTCATTTATGTAAAGATTTTAATGAATTGATTTCTTGATCACTTTAATTCATGTTAGACTTTCATCATTTAAGATTCTGCCACTTTAGCAATTCTTTTGTGGGTATTTTTTTGTTTTAATTTTTGCATATAAACTTAGGCAGATCAAAATATTATCGATTTGTTTCATCTATTAATTTTTTTTTTTTTTTTTTTTT